CAACAGTATGGTGAATTGGACACAGACAGGAGACCTGGTAGAGCAACCATTTTATACCATTTGGTATCACTATATAGTCAAATTATGTACACCTTATCTTCACTGTACCATTCGCATAAATCGTCCGCGTTGTGGTACTTCTGTCCCTCATACTGTGTTTCTTTGTGTTCCTTTCACATCTTCCGTGTATCTCCGCAACTCTGTATCATTTACTTTTCTCTGACGTCGAATTTATCTCCCTGCAATTTGATGTTTTTTATACTGATGAACGTCTGCTTGTATACTACTGATAAATCTTATCCACAGCACACCACACTCTTAGTAAAGAAAAACATCCATCTATCTCAATGACTAAATATATGGACATAAAAAATGTCAGTGCAAGAGGTTATAAACCATTTAACAGAAATCATTCCGTTGGAAACTTTAATGCAGTATTTTTGTCATTATAGCCTCTTGACAGCGGTCGTCAGGTAACCTTCACTACATAGTAAGTCAATTTTACTTGGCTAAAGGTAAACAGATTTAGTCCGTCTCCTCCATGTACACTTATTAGTTCAAGCAGTTTGAGAAGAGAAATCATACTGGGTGTAAAATAATTTGAACTGATTGTCAGATTTTTGCATATTACTTAACATGTCTGGTGGACAATAAGCATTTTAATAATGACACATTAGTTGAGTAACAGTTACAAAAAGACAGAAAAAAACCTATTATGGTTTTGTAATTCCCTCACAGGGGGAACAGATGAAGATGTCAAAGCTGGCCAGAATTGGAAAGGCAAGATACGCCTTCATCAATCTGAAACCAATTTGGAATTCTTCTGCACTAAGCCTGAATAAAGAACAAGATTCAGATTTTCAACATCAACGCTAAGTCGGTCTTTCTATATGGGTCAAAAACTTGGCATGTCACGAAAAGGATTTCCAACAGACTACTGCAGACTTTTATCAACAGCTCCATACTGAAGATCAAATGGCCGGTCAGAAAGAATTAGCAACAAGGAACTATGGGAACAAATCAACCAACAACTTATCGTTCAACAAATATATAGAAGAAAATGGAGATGGATTGTGCAAACATTGAGGAGACCGTCGACTGAAACTGAGCGCCAGGCTATCACTCGAATGGGATCCCAATGGGAAGCGACACATGGGTCGTTGGTGCGATGGTGACATGGAGGAGATCGTGTTAGGAGGAGATGAGAGATTATGAGCAGTCATAGGCCCAAATGAACAAGACAGCAGAGAATAGAACAAAGTGAAGATGTTTTGTTGAAGCCCTACGTTCCACTCAGAACCCAAGAAAACAATAAATTACACATCACCTAACTTTCCACCATGTTTATTTCATTTGAATTAGGTGGCTGTGGGGTTGTTAAAACTATTTGATCTCACAGAAGACACTCTTGTCGGCAAGTTTATTAACAGGCTGTACAGTTGTATACATTTCAAATGTTTGAATTCGTCCCGAACCATCATCAGTTAGAGAGATCATTGAAAAACAGGAAATGCTGGATCGCTGTCTAGTCCTAGTTTGGATCTCTTCTGAAGTGTGAACCTACAACCCCACCAGGGTTGACGAGATCTAACAACTGGTATTAGTCCAAATCTCATAACTTGAATGTCGGTCTCCAGCTCACTGATGGCAAATGGATGGATATCCTGAAGCTGTGGTTAGAGGTCATGGCCAGTGGTGTGAAGTGGGTGCTCGTCAGGCGTCCAATATCATGACGTGAAGAAAGTTGTAATCCAGAGGTAAATGAATCCAGACCCAAATGGCTAAATGATTAGAAAGCTTGGTCCAATAACCTGAAGACCTTGGGTTCCATATCCGGTGCAGTCATGTGTGCGCACCGATATCTACTACCCCCTGGTTTTCAATTATCTCTCTTATTGATGTTGGTTTGGGATGAAATCTAACATTTGAAATAAATACGGTTGTACAGCTTGAGAATAAATCCGTTGAAAAGAGTGTCATCACTGAACACTTTGTTCTTTATATTACAGCAGGTACCATTAAACTAGGACACAGCGAGAAGAAAAAATTGGTCATATGCTAGTTTACATGAGTGTGCCACAGCATATACGTTGGATGAACAGAAAGAGAGATTAGTGACTACATATGTAAAGGCATTCTAAGAAACTCGTAACTGAAAGGAGCAAAAGTCTTTAGTAGTGAGAATGCTCGCTAATTGTTGGATAGCGGTCATGAAATCGATACATCATAACCCTTTAAGATAACTTAAGTTCTGGGTTACTGAGTATCTCTGGTGCGATTGCCATCAAACAACTTAGACAGAACTTATGCGTTCTAAAGGAAACCATTGTCTAGCTTACCATACCTTCGTAAATATTATTTACGTTATTTTGCTTTGTTATTTTTATTTATTTTGTTATTTCAGTAGTATATTTTTGTCAGTGTAATTTCATACTCTTAATTTTGTCTTTATCTATATTCTTCACCGGACTATTTTGGTTTTTTACCTCTGTTCGACTGAATTATCTAGCCCTTACGAGTGTATATTGTCGATTTACATCTATTTTCAATTTGCAGTTCAATTTCTAAACATACTTTTAACCTTAATGATAACTTTCATTCCTTTCTACCGTTCTGTTTATTCAAGTGACATAATTATCCTTCATCTTTATAATCAATAACCAAAGTATTTGAATATTTTCTATAATGATATTAAATTGCCTGTGATTGTGCGCATTGGATGAAAGGCTGCTTTGTCAAGCTATCAATGAAGGGCGACTTAGGCCTGTGCAAGAACTGACGTGGATTAATGCTCTTGTCCACACCAAGTGAAATACTATGTCGCGTCATCCTGGAGAGAATAAAGGATGCACTGGATGCAGAACTCCGCCAACCGGAACAAGCTGGATACAGAAAAAACAAATCATGCGCTGATTAATCGACATTAAAACAAAGCATAGAATGGCAGTCAAACTTCTACCTTAAATTCATCGACTTCAAAAAGGCCTTCGAAAAACAGCGTTGACCGAGAAGTAATTTGGAAACTACTTAGAAACCACTACGTACCTCAAGTTTTTGTTAACCTCATTCAACAGCTGGCTATGCGATAGTATCACGTATCAGGTGATCCACAACGGAAAACTCATCGAAGCTTTTGAAGCGAATACAGGAGAAAGACAAGACTGCCTGCCTGTGATTACCACGTGTGATGTTCTTAATTGTGGTGGACTGGATTATGCATCAGACTCTACGAGAGGAGTGAGAAGACAGGAATACATTGGACTACCAATAAGAAGGCTCTAGAAGGTCTGGATTTCGCACGTGGATGACTTATGTTTAATGTCACACAAACTCGAAGACTTCTAGGCGAAAACCAACAGACTGGCAGAAGAGGCGAGACAGGTAGCGAAGACAGGACTCCAGGCGAACATAGAGAAGATGGAGGTGATGAAATTAACCAACCAACAGCAATAACAACGACAACCCAACACCACCAACGGGAGAGATTTAACAGAAGTTACCTCCTTCACTTATCTTGGCAGCCAGTAGCGTTTCAGCCACAGGCGGATGGCACGGGCGAAGATGTCAAAGTTAGAATCGGAAAGGCAAGATGCGCCTTCATCAACCTGAAACTAGTTTGGAAATCTTCTGCACTAAATCACCATAAGGAAAAAGATTTGAATTTCCAACACAAATGTCAAGACAGTCAGTCAGTTCTTTCATACGGGTCAGAAACTTCACCAGAGCATCTTGAAAAGCATTTCCAACAGCCAGCTGCAAACTTTTATCAACAGCTGCCTTCGCTGGCTGGTTCCGTACTGAAGATCAAATGACCGGCCGGTCAGAAAGAATTAGCCACAAGAAACTCTGGCTGGGAGAAAACCAACCAAGAGCCACTCACCCAGTAATATGTAGGAGAAAACGGAGATGGATTAGACATACACTGAGGAGGCTGTCGAATGACAACACGCACCAGGCCATCGCTCGAGTGGAATCCCGTCGGGAAGCGACGAGTGGGTAGATAAGGGATAATGGACGACCGTGAACCGAGGTGAAGAGGACAACAGAGAACTGATCAATGTGGAGTGAAACTCCCCTGCTCCTTTGCCTTAGACTGAATCAAATTGATGTTAAAAAATTCCCGAAAAAGGACAGTCTAAGAAGAATGACATATAACAGTATTCTTTATATTATTCCTATAGAAGTAATGAATCTTGAGAAGTGGTTATAATGCTACTGATACATGTAGAAAATCATCTACAGTTTGTACACAGAAGGCTAGTGAACAAAATATAGATGGCCACCCGGGAAACAACACCAGGCATTTCTAGTATTCTAAAGTATTCCTCATCCTGATAAGAAAATTAAGTACTTAATATCACAGACACTGGCACGTATCTGTTTTTAAATTTACTTCATTAAGAGAATATCTTTCTTATAACAATATTAACACTGATGTCATATCTGATAACCGTTGAGGATTAGCTTGCTAGGATGGCCCTGGAAGCCTCTTTAAAAATATGCAATACATGTTACAGTGATAAAAATTTAAGATGAATGTCATTATCAGAAAAATCATAAGTAAGCAAAGTTTCAAAAATATTTTTTTCTTTTGCATTTCATTGTCCATTGCCATTACTCTAGCAGTAAATAGTGTATTTTTTGAAGCATTCAACACATTAAGTTTGAAATGAAGCTATATTTAGACAAAACAATCCCAAAATATATGTAAATATCCCAGTCATACAGAGGATAGCTTCAGTCGGATTGAAACTGTGGTTAGTTGTTGTGATTACTGCCTGCATTAAACAGGGCTATTCATATTCTATTAGTTTGCCCTATCTACGTCGTTCAACCATAAATAAGTTTTTATGCTTTATAGTGATTGGACAGAGTGACAGTAGCAAATTTTGATTAGTCTATTGATTATGTATCTTGTGATGTGATTGGTAGATGAGATATGTCAGATGAGTGTGTCTTTGTACTTAACCTCGACGCAGTTACACTATCAAAACAAATGTATTAAACATGCTTAAAAGGTTTGTGCGCGCATGTATATGAAATAAAAAACAAACATTTTCGAGAGACTGCTGACCATACACTTAAAAAAATTCAGTGAATGTCAAATACTCAGTCAAATATAATTGGACTTATCTTACTTTTCATTTGCCTTTTGAAAACTACAAAATCAGATCCACAATGTTCAGGTATCAGTGATGTACAACGTTTGGATTGTTTTCCGAGTACTGATTCAAATAAGGATAGATGCGTGGCTAGAGGATGCTGCTGGGTACCCAAAAATGAACATGATGGGTTACCGTATTGTTACTTCCCAAAAGACTATCCCACATATAGTGTAGTGTCAACAGAAAAAACTGAACGTGGATTTATTGCTCAGTTGAACAAACCTAATTCAAGTTATTATACAGATGAAATTAAAAATATTGCAGTCGAAGTTAGAGAGGAAACTTCAACTAGACTGCGTATACGATTTACAGTGCCTTCACAACCCAATAGATGGGAACCACCTATCCCATTGGGACAACCAGATGATACTCCAGTGTCAAATGTCCAGTATAAGGTTGTTATGGACAAATCACCTTTTGGATTGAAGGTAAGATACAAAGATACTTGGAAGTGTTCATAAATCTATAAACATATCTGTTTTAATTTTTTTTTGTGCATTTGTTGTTTTATTCTGAGAAGATTACTTCAACCAAGTGTTATTTGAAGTAAAGCTTCTGGTTCTACTTAGCACAACTGTTCGTTATTAATGACTTATGTTCAGTGCTTATTGTTATGGATAAAACGTACACTATTGCAAAAGTACTGGATTTCCTTTCAACATTTACGCGTGACTATAACTGCAACTTTGAATTAATTCACCTTCACTTCTTATGTTGCCAAGATTAACACTAAAAGGAAGGTTTGATTGAAGGGAGGTCTATTGACATTAACTTGGTTTTATTGGGATTTCTTTTTGATAATGATTGAGGCTTTACTTAAATTCCAGAGTCCTGTAACCAGTACCATATATGGGTGAGGATAAAAGTCACTGTAAGGTGTTTTCGCGCGTAAGCCTTCTAGCTGTGCAAGGGAAAAAATGTGTACAAACTTTTAAAACTAGTGAGGACGTAAGTAACCAACAAACAAACATATACCTGCCTTTCATTTCCTCCTCTTTGATAGAGTAGAACATAGGCGGTTAATTACAATTCGAATCTCCTCAGGTAGTTATTGTGCATGTTCATATGTACTGCATGTTTAGTGGAGTACTGTACACATTTCAGATGTTACATTTAGTTGTTTTAAAGATGTTTCATGGATTTCTTTTACACAGCTGGAATATATTTGTTGCGCTGTTCACTATACAATGTACGAAAACACCTTGCGCTGACTTTGTGATCCTCACCTGTATATGACTAAAGTATTTAAGAGGTTTCATTTCTGTTAACCTACCAGATTCTGACTTTAGTGTTTTTTTTTACACAAACGAAATATAAACATATGAAGCTTCGTGTATTCATGACTTGGAGGATTAAGAAGATATGACGTAAGGAATAATAATAACAATTTGCTTTATTCCAAAACAGTACTTGTGATACAGAATGGAATTCTCAGCATTTTTACTACAGTATTGCATCCAGTCAGTACATTATCAATAAATAGAATTCTACATAGATTAAGGAAATCTCAGTTCATTATGACAACAACATATTGGCATGTCGGTAGCTAAGCCAAAGCTGAACAGTGTTTGAAGGTGTTAGAAAAGTAGGTGCTATCATAATTACTGGAGTAAGGTAAGCGGAAGAAAGAAACAAAGCAGCATATAACGAAAAAAGAGACAGAGAATAGGAAAAGAAAGAAAGAAAATGTTGTACCTATATTAGTTGGAAAGACGAGGTCCAGTTGTACTACTGACTATTTAATGAATTATAGGTGTCACGCCTATGAGACGACCAGGAGAGATCAGCAGATAGAATGACGCCTAGGTATTTAATTTCCGATTTGGTTTCTATTTCAGTGCCGTCTATGTTGCATACTTCGTGAGAGCCAACCACTTTGTTTAGGTTGGATTTATGCCTAAAGGTGAAATTGACTGTTTGGCATTTGGAGGGGTTTAGGGTAAGACCGTTTTCCATGGACCACTGGCTGATTTCTGATAGAAAGCCACTTAGTTTAGAGCAGTCACTTTGACATTTGACAGGCAAAGATACAGTCAGGTCGTCAGCATATTTGACAAAAATAATGTCATTTGAAGATGGTAAGTCATGTAGAAAGAAAGAAAAGAGAAATGGGGAGAGTACAGCACCTTGGGGGACACCAGGTTCAGTGAGCACAGCAGAGGAGGATTTACCTTTATATACGGTGTACTGCTTTCTGTTAGAGAAGTAATATTATATATATATATGATATAATATATTTATACATAATGTAATATAATAACAAGAACATATAGATCAGGATGACAATAAATTTCAGGTGTTTGTGCTTCAGTGTTGATTTATCACTGAACAAGTACCGATGTAACTGTTTAGTTTCAAATGTTGAAAATCTATTCATCAGCTGTTCAGTATGTTCACTAAGTTGAGTAACATTATTTAAGTTACAAGCCATAAAAATTTCTTATGTCTCATTTACTTTATGCAATACTTTAATATATAGTCTAGTGTAGACATCAACCTGACAAGTTAACACCATATCTTTGTTGAACCACCAGAACCCAATTAATTATAATGTTTTAACACAGCTCACCTTGATGAAATGTGAAATAATTTGCGCAGCATATAATACGTTTCCACCGCATTGGTCTGTCAGTTGATCTTTCTGTAATACTTCGTAATTTATGCTTCTTCCCCCTTAGAACCATCTTGAATGTTAGTCGTTCACTTATTTTATAACTGTGATTTTCATTACTCATTCATGACTGCTTTATATTTCAAGCATATATATAATGCCGACCATGTACATGGTCCGGGGTTCGATCCCCGGCCGACGCACTCCTTTACCTCGCTAAGCCAGTAGTAAGACTGGTAAAGAGGGAAGGTTGGGCATGAGGCTAGCAACCCCATCCTGTAAAAATAAGCACTGCTACAGAATCTTCAAGCCTCTAGCTTGAAGCCCTATGTTCCACTGGGAACGTGAAGGAATAATAAAAAAAAGTAATGCTCATAAATCACCGTGGTTTTCATACTCTATGCCTCTTCTTTTTCAAAACTACTTGCAGTTCATCTCCACTTCCGATGAAGTATTAATGTTGTGGATAAAATAAGAAACAAATTTAAACAACAACCACTTGTAATTTACTCAGATTCGGAGGTATTCAGCGGCGGGAAGAAACTACTACTGTTTAGGCTTAAAGTAACTAGGATTGATAACTCTAACAGTCAGACATTTTTAATCTTACTTAGACAAAAGAAAATATCCCAGATATCTGGAAAATTCTACTACCCGTACGATAAATAGGAGAGGATAAAGAAAACTATAAAACTCAAGTTTCGAAGTCTTATGATTATAATTGATATGATTATGAACAATAAATTTTGTTCGAAAATCGTCATCCAGTAAAAATAATACTGTTTCACTGTGTGATACATCTAATAAACAAACTAATATGGAATTACTTACTACCACATTGACCAAATGCGTCGGTGGCACAGTGGTTAGGACTCTCGCCGACCATGCACATGGTCCGGGGTTCGATCCCCTGCCGACGCACACCTGATATCAATGGTCGGCCTGCAAAATTTGGGCTACCGATATCACATGCTGAAAATTCCATACTTGTACCGAAAATAGGGTGTGGAATCAAGCTGTAATCAAAAAAATATATATGTATTAAAATTTTATTTCAATTAGATGCATCGGGATTCTAAGTTTAATTTCTTTCACAATCCACCCATCTCGATAACTTATATTACTTCAGATGAATAGCAATGATTTCATGAGTACTTTTAGAAGTTTAAAATATGCCAGTTAATTTAATCGTCTGCTACTATAAATTATGGTCTCTTTGTGTTAGAGTAACGTATTGGTAGATACATGAGTGGATTGTACTCTTTGTTGATCATGTTGTGATCTCATATAGTAATGACAGTAAAATTGAAAACATGTCTGGTTCAAACGTTTCAAACGAAAATATCGAGTAATCATAGAAATAAATAGGGCTGAACATAAGTTATGCGTGACATTAGTAGCTATTATCTTATCTCCTACCTATTGTTCTTACAGTGCTGTTCTTTTAACTTTAAACTGTCCCCTTTTTTCTTTCTTTGCCTTTTGGAGTGAAACATAGGGCTTCAAAAGCACATTTCCACTGTACTCTTTTCTCTTCCTTGCATTTTGGTTGTCTTCATGACTGACAACAAGGACTCAGTTCCTCTTTACATCATCTCCTTCATGTCACCATTGGACATCCAACTCGTCGTTTCTCAGTTGTTTACACTTGAGGGCATGCGGTGGGGTGTCGCTTGGAGGTTCCCTCACTCTACGTCCAGTCAGTTTCCATTTTCTTATGTATATTCGTTAGGCAATAGGTTCTGGGTTGGTTCGCTTCCTGTCAGAGTTCCTTGTTGTTCATCGTTTCCGGTCGGCCATCTGACTTTCAGTATCGAGATAACAAAGGCAACTGTTAATGAAAGTTTGCAGGCTGTTAGAAATGATTTTGGTGACAAGTCGAGTTTCTGAACTATAAACAATTATTGATTTACTTGACATTAATGTGTAAGTTTCGGATCTTGTTCCTTATGCTAAGTGCTGTAGATCTCCACACCAATTTCATGCTAGTGAACGTCGGTCTTGCTTTCCCGACTCGATCCTGACTGGCTTTGATATCCTCATCCTTACTGCTTGTAGTTGAAATGAGGCTATCGAAGTGAATAAAATAGATGACTTCCTTTAGATTCATACCGTTGATAGTGACTGACATTATTTTGTTGGCTGGGCATGTTCATCATCTCCGTCTTTATGTCCACAGGAAGTCCTATCTTCTACTAACTTGTTGTTTTTCACGTGTTAATCTTCGATTTTGTGCAACATCAAGCTTAAATCATGTACGAAACCTACATCTAGCATCTTTTTGTCGATCCATCCTATATCCGTCTTCTCACTCCCCACGGTCTGCTGCATGATGCAGTCTGCCATAATCAAGAATATCCACCATGGTAGCGAGCAGCTTTATCGTACTTCTGTCTTAACTGTAAACGCTCCCGAGAATTTTCCTTTATGAATTACTTGAAATGTAGCATCGTTAAACAACTGTTGGGTGAGTTCTACGAGGGTTTGTAGTACTCCGTAGTGTTCTTATTCATTTCACCAAGCGCCTCCAAACCCATGATGTGTTCTCTTCCCTGTTCTCTGCTCTCAGTTTGACTCACATTCACATCATCTATTAGAATTTTTATATCTCCATCTGGCTGGGTCTTTGCCTATTACTGCATGCAGTTGTCTTTGGAAGTCCTCCTTCTCTCAATCTTCGTTGTTTATAGGTTGACAGCATCCTATGACTGTAACTTTCCCTTCTTTTGAGGTAAATCTTTCTGCCATGATCCCAAATGGGATTGGTTCCTATTCCAAGAGATCCTTCTGTGGTGAGAGCTGGCTGCTAGCCAAATT